GCTCATCCATTGACCTCCTGCTTTCCAGCTCCCTTGTCCACTCCTCCCATACTCGCCTCCAGGACTTCTCTAGAGTCTCTCCCATCCTCTGGAACTCTTTACCCCAACCTGTCCGTCTATCTCCCACCTTGACTGCCTTTAGGCGTTCCCTAAAGACTCATCTCTTCAGGGAAGCCTATCCCACCTCGACCTAGCCACTGAACCTTCACATTCTCAAATAATTCATCCCCACACAGCTCCCTCCTTATGTATCATTTCCCCCTCCTCTTTCAGATTGTAAGCCCTCAGGGGCAGGGCCCTCCTTACCATCTTGATTTGTATTGTAACTGTAATGTCTTCCTTATATTGTAAAGCGCTGCGCAAACTGTAAGCACTATATAAATCCTGTATAATAATAATAATAATTTAGCTAGAGTCAGCCCATTCAAATCTGATATTTTAGTTATGGATGGACACTGGTGGTTTGAATCACCTGCTTGATCTCGTACAGGTGCTTAGATTTTTCAATCAATCTAAAACAGGGTTCATGACCCTTCTGATGGTCTTTTCAGGTGCTAAGAACAAAGGTATAGGTAGCACAGCACTTTCTGACTCCTCAAATCAACTTTATTGACACAAGCTAAGTAGACACTCCACCTGTTGACTTCCACTGATGCCCCCTGCTAGGGGTTTAATTGCAAAGTCAGTGAAGAGTAAATGACTGAATGTTTAAAAGGAGAACTATGAGGTGAATGATTTATACTCATAGTTAGAGCCGACCTGTGACAAAGAAGCTGTCACAGGTCGGCTCTATTGATCAGGAAGTGAGCAGAAACATGCAGCCGATCAGCTCACTTCCCGATCGTCTCCCTGCAGTGAATGGTGACTGTCATGTAACGGGCAATAGCTCGCTATATACTGAGCTTTGGGTCACGGTAGGAGGTTAGTATACAGTATATCCTCCCGTGACCCTAAAGAGAACTATGGGGGAAAAAACGTACCCCGTTGTTCTCTTTTAAGTACATTTCCATTAAACACTCCTGACTCTTTAAGTTACAATTCACTTAATTTTTTAAAACGTAATAATAATAAACAAATTCTTCATAAGTCACTATATTCATGAAGTGTTGTCTTATTATAAATAATCCTTTAAACCAGTGGTTCTCAACCTGTGTAACCTCAGGACCCACATTTGTCCTTGGTCATTAAGTTGTGACCCAAGTTGCATCGCACAGGAATGCACAGCATTGCGGTACCGCATGTTCCAGTGTGGGGGCGAAAGGTGCGCTTCTCCCCTTCCCCCCGCTGGGCGCCGGCAGCTTAGCTGGCTCTTTGTCCAAATCCTGCTGCCTTTGCCGACACAGGCGGGGCTGAGCAGTGGGAATCGTAGGGGACATAGACCAGAGCCCAGTGGGGAGGAGAGAAGCTAGGAATGCACCGCATCTTTGGCCGCTTTGATACTATCGTCATTTTGCCCATAGGACCATTTTCGGACCAAATTTCTCTGCATCGCCTATAATATTGTATTGTGTTTTTGTATCATAAAGCAAGCAGATGGAGTGTCCTCTCTGCTTGTTTCAATATAGTTGATCAGATAGGGATCCGCACCCTGAGAAAAAGTATTACTGTAGTGGCGGGTGGTTAAAGTCTGAGCATGCATGTCTGAAGGGATTTTGGGGATGTGTTCTTTCATATAAAGCTCGTAACAGCAGTACAGTGACTGATGCCAGCCCTAAAGCTATGTGTAGCTTTGCCAGGCCTGTTATTGGGACCATGAAGCGGTACTATGGGATAGCATTGTTTAGGACTTGTCTGGCTATGTTGACAAAGTTACTACACTCATCTAAGTAGCTTCCTCAATTCTAAAGAGTGTCAGGATTATACAGCAGTTCTAATGGGTATGTTCCTGGCACTCCTTAGTACTGAGTAAGTTACTTGGATGAGTAGCAAAACATCTTTAACAGTTGAGTATGACTATATAATATTAGCTACACGATGACTGGGCTAAATGGGAACCTTCACAGACATAAGAATACAGGTCTTAAGGCATTACGACAGATGGATCACGTTGATGGAGTCCCGAAGAGATATATAAAATGCCAGTAGGTAACACAGCTCCCCAGAAATCACTTATAACCTGCCTTAAGCTGAAAGCTGATTTATTTTTCCATGGACCAATACACTTTTCACATCATTATTGCTCTTAGCGATGCTTTATAAAAAAGCACCATCAGTATTGAAAAATATGTTTTGGCTAGAGATTTCAGCAGTACAATTTCTGTGGAAACTGTGGCTCATGTCCAGTACAGTCCTTGCAGTCCTGACAGTGAACAATTAAAAATTGAGGATCTACGTTTTGTCATTTTGCAAGTCTTACCTCTCAGGCTCTTTCCTGTAGGCACCATGTAGTTAGACCTTAGAATATTTTTTGGGTTATTGTAACAATGTGTTAGCAATACATATACTAGTATGCTCTCCTGAATACAGAATACAGGGATCAGAAGAATATCACATTCTGCTTTGCTTAAGTAGGAATTTATTTCCATGCTAAGTGCAAATGGAGCTTCAACATGGTCTCAAATGTTACTCACCTTGTGATTCCAGTACTAAAGTCTAGTAGCTGATTATCACTACACCTCAAGCAGCTGCTATGGGGCCAAGCAACAGGGAGGGGCCCCGTCCACATCTTAAAAGAGATTGCAAAAAAAAACCTGCTACCCACAGGACCAAATTTCACCATCTTGAGCAAAATAGCTTGCCGAAGACTCTTCTTCTGCACACTTCTGGATGTGTTAGATGCCAGGTCAGCCTGCTGCACTAGGTGATTCCTTCTGCTGATCCCTACAGTATTACTGTATCCTGTAGTGATATAGTGGCGGGTGGTTAAAGTCTGATCATGCATGTCTGAAGGGATGTTGGGCATGTGTTCTTTCATATAACGCTCGTAACAGCAGTACAGTGACTGATGCCAGCCCTAAATATCATGCCCAAACATGACTAAGAGCAAAAATGATTAATGGTAGAGAAAACGAATAGCTCTGAGAGGCTGCCCAACAACAGAGAGGGAATTGATTAAAGTTATTCAGACAGGAAATGAAGGCGGGCTCAAGATCGCTGCTGTAGCTTCATAGAGTTATATTGAGGAGATGCAAGTTTGCAGGGAATTAGGAGTAATCAGTTCCAGCACAGAAGACTTGCTGCAAGTGTGGGAAAAAAGATAAGGTTGGAGTGAGAACCGATAGCACCAGAGAGGGCAGCGTGCGACTTTTAAACCAGGTATACATACTGGGAGGAATTTATCAAAACTGGAGCAGACAAAATCTGGAGCAGCTATGCATGGCAACCAATCAGCATCCACCTTTAATTTTCAAAGCTTAACTGAACAAGCTTAAAAGAGATGCTGATTGGTTGCCATGGGCAACTGCTAAAGATTTTGTCTGCTCCAGTTTTGATAAATTCCCCCCATTGTATTTGTAGCAAAGATGACTCTAAAATGACAAAAAAAGATTATGTCACTATGACTTTCTCTTGCTTAGAAATGGTCTATAACTCTACTATTTACAAGTAATTCAATGGTGTGTGTGTGTGTGTTTGTGCGTGTGTGTTTGCAATTAAATGTGTTTCAAGCCTATATATGTTTGCTTTTTTTTGCAGGTCAAAAGTCAGTAAAGACAATTTCATTACAGAACATTTCAGCTGAGTCCTTGGAAGTATCCTTCAAGTCTTGATACAATAGGTTTAATTTGGAAGGTTGGGATGAATTAATTTTAGCCCTTGTTATTAGCACTGTATCTTTCATCTAAAATAGCATCTGTTGCTATTTATAAATGATGTCCAAAACCATTTCCTAATCAAGTTTGACCTTGCCGTCCTCATATGCATGTATAGGAAACAATCAAAAGGAAGGCATTTATACATGAAATTGGTAATTATGAATACTCTTCTTTAAGTGTAGTAAATTAGTGTAAATTTTACAACATAATCCAGATTTATATAAAGGTGAGTAGAAAATAAGCTATACAGCTCTAACACATTGTAAGTGTTTTGTTTTATGCTCTGTGTACAGACATGGGGTATACTGTTATGTAATGTTAAATAAGAATTCAGGGGAAACAAAATCTTAAATGGTTATTAAACCTTCACTTTTTTTGCATATATCTACGGCTAGCAAGCAGTAGATATATGCAAAAACTTTAAAAAAAAAAACCTTTTGAAACAGGTTTAACCCCTTCGTGACTGACGACGTACAGTGTACGTCGGCAGCATCGGGGCTGTTTAAACAGACTCCCGGCGACTTTTGCCGCCGGGACTCTGTTTAAACTTGTAGAGCCGACTGTCGGCTTTACAACAGAAGCGATCCTGGCGACTTACCTGTCGCCAGATCGCTTCTGCGTCCCGAAGAAGGGGCCGCCCCCCCCGCCGGACACCCCCGCCGTGCTTCCCGGGCTCCGTTGCCCCTCCTACGGGCCCGGGACCGGCGATCTTTGTGTCCGCGGGGAGCTGGGGAGGAGGTCGACGAACTTCCGTTCATCGATCCCCTCCCCGTTCTATGGGACCGGGAGCGATGCAGATTGCATCACTTCCGGTCCCTGGGCTGTCAGTTCTGGGCTCCTGCAGCCCAGCTATAAGCTATTGAAGTGCGATCTGCACTTCAATAGCTTATTTCCAGTGTAAAGGTGACACTGAGGGTCTTTTGGACCCCCAGCATCACCTTAAAGAGGACCTGTCACCACCATCTGCTATTACATGGGGGGGCTTGCAAGCCCCCCCATGTGATAGCAGTCAAAGTAAAGTAAAAAAAAAAAAAAAAACAGTTTTTAAAATTAAAATGAAATAAAATAAATCTAATAATAATAAAAAAAAAATTTTAAAAGTACCCCGCCCCCGCGAGCACGCGCGTCGCCACGTAAACACGCGTCGGGTGCGCCTACGCATGAAAACGACGAACGCGCTACACATGTTGGGTATCGCCGCGCACGCCGGAGTGAGAGCAATAATTCTAGGGTCAGTATTTTGGGGTATCTCTAAATTGATGACCTGTGGGGGCTTTTAAAGTGTCTTTTATTGATTTTTTGGGGTACTGCAGTTTTTCGCCGTTTCACGGTCGCACGCAATCTGTAAACTCGGCATGTTGGGTATCGTTTTACTCGTTGTAACCTCATCTTTTATATTTCATTAAAAAAATGGGTAATTTGTTGTGTTTTGGGGCATTTAATTAAATTTGTCACTAAATTTTGGGGTTTAATAAGGAGTTGCGCTAATATTGCGCAACATAAAAATTTTCAACTACCACCATTTTATTCTATAGGGTCTTGGCATTCAGAAAATATATAATGTTGGGGGGTTTTACGTCATTTTCAGGCCTAAAATGTGGAATATAACATGGGTGCAAAAATGGAAAAAAGGGCCTCAGTCATGAAGGGGTTAAACTTACCTGTGGCCACAAAGGATCTTGGGGCGGGCGCATGCGCAGTCCAGATGTTCGGCCGGGAGACGAGGAAAGACACAAGGTAAGTCTATGGAGCAGCGTGCACCCGCACAGACACAGTGGGACGTCAGAGAAGGACAGAGGAGTCAGCACTGGGTCGGAGACCCGCACCAGTGCTGGAGGGACATCTGAAAACGACAGTAATGAAGAAGATGATCGGAATAAGAAGCATGATTTAAGGTAAGTCCTTACACTAGCATTGGGGGGAGGGAAGAAATATCCTTTAATGTCACTTTAACCACCACCCCAACACTGCAATGGTTAAGTGCTTGTTTGTCTAGGGAGCTAAAAAAAACAGAGTTATACTCACCCGAACCATGATCCCTGCTGGCTGCTGGACCGGTCCCTTCACCCTGTCTCCTATTCCGCTCCAGCAAGGGAGCATTCTCACGTCCTATACACTGTATAGGACTTGATGACTCACTGGACCCAACACTGGACCTTAGACCGCTGGAGCGGAGGGGGAGCAAGGCTGAAGGCACCGATCTAGCAGCCAGCCAGGATCTGGCTGAGTATAACTCTGTGGTTTTAGCTCCCTAGACAAAACAACACTTAATCCATGCAGTGTTGGGGTAGCCGGGGTTAAGATTTTATTTGCATGGAGTTCTGCTGACCAAGGTGACAGGTTCTCTTTAATTTACAACATCTGTTGCATGCATTTAATTATTGTATCTTTGAATCTACAGATTGTTTTGACATGTATTTATTTTACTGATGGTAACTTTTGCTTATGCAGTTTTTTCTCTTATGCTCAGTTTGATTTGTCTGGGTTTGTGACTGGTTTACTTACGGTACACCAGTAACCTTTTTCTGAATATAAGTTCTGATAGGACGTTGACATTTTTACATCTTTGTTTTTCTCTTATTTTAAATTTTGATAAATATTTACAGATATGTAAATGCTCCGTAATGGTTATCGGTTTATAAGTGAATTTGATTAGAAGATCGAAACCAACAATAAGGGTAGCCTCCCCAGCCCCTTGGCCACTAACACCCCTTAAGTACAGTACTTACCTATTCACATTATCTGGAAACTTCATGTATCAGCCTGATGCATCCAGGTTTAAGTTGTGACTGAGAGCTGAGGGAAAGCCACTGACTGGTAGCTCAGGCAGAGGCAGTACCTCTAAATCACACAGATCCTTCCTCCCTGGCGATGGCTTAGACCTGAAAACATTGAGAAAGCAGCAAGCCACTGGTAAATAGATTGAGCTTAAAGCTACCATAAAGTATTTTAATGGTGTTAGTGGCCATTTTACATAGGGAGCTGCAAGCAGGTGCAGAGGAGGTGACATTGTATTGTGTGTGGGGGACTGCTTCAAAGTATGCCTGCCAAGAGACAACTAGGTGGCTCCCATTTCAGACCTCCTTCTTAAAATGCGTTCTGCCTGTGTGTATCTGGCTTTGGGTTACAGACCAGAATAAGCATGATGTAAATGAGTGTCAGAAAAGTGTCAGAATGTGCAATCTGTATACAGACAGTCCCTGGGTTACGAACAAGATAGGGACTGTAGGTTTGTTCTTAAGTTAAAAAATGTACCTGTTTCAACATACATACAAATTCAAGTGTAACTCCAGCCAAAAAAAATCTTTTCGTTTTGGATAGCATAGGGAAGGGTTAACCCCCAGCAGTGGCTTTGCTACAGGGGGGCAAGGGGGGGCAATTGCCCCCCCCTAGGTTTTCACTTGCCCCCCCGTGTGCCCCCCCGCCAGGGATCGGCAAGGTGTCCTTGCAGGGTCCACCGCGGTCGTACGGAACAGTTGGTACGTCCCAACACCCCCGTCCAATTTGATGTCATACAGCATGCGCTGGTTACTACTTAAACCGGCGCGCTGTGTGCAGCTTCTGAGAAGATACGCTATTAGCGTAGCGGGCGCGATGCAAAATGCGCAGCCGACTTCCTCGCTATGCTAATAGCGTATCTTCTCAGAAGCTCCACACAGCGCGCCAGTTTAAGTAGTAACCAGCACATGCTGTATGCAGCTTCTGTCGCAACTGCAGGGCGCAGATGCCATCCGCAATTAAATCAGCTCTCGGCGCCCATCGGTTGCGACATGCAATGAAAATTATTAGTGCCCCCCCAGATCTGACTGTGGTATCTTATGTGCCCCCCTATATATTGTTCCTAGAGTCGCCACTGACCCCCAGTAACATTTGTTTTGCTGTGTGTGGCCCTGCTCAGAAGATTTCACCTCACTTTCTGTCCCTGTGAAAATTGGATTTTGAAAATTGGAAACAAGGATTGGTGATAAAGCTTCAGTGGAGACACCTTTTTCCCATTAAAACTCTTACAGGAGTGAATTTCCCCTCCTTAGAGGGTAGATTACCTCTCACTTCCTGTTGTCTCAAGGACAGGAAGCAAGATTAAATCTTCCTAATGAGGATACAGGCAGCAGTAAAAACCTCACAGTGACCCAGAAGAAGAGGCGGGAACCCCCACGTCTGCACGTCTAACAAGAGCCAACTTCCTGTAATGTACATACAGTACTACGAACCAGACCCAAAAAGGCGGGCACTCCTCGTCGGCTTGAGCACGGTAGCCAATACACGAGCGTGAGAGGCAGACAACTAACATTCTAAAAATAAATAGGTCAGCGTTACTATTAAGAGACGATTACATTGTCTGCATGCGTATATTGTAGATGTTTTCTTACTTCCCTCCATTATATACCTTAACATATTCATTATAGCCCCGTTTCTCAATTTTGAACCCCTGTGGTCCTTTCGCATTGCTCAATCCCATTGGTATTGTGGAGCCTGGAGCAAGCTGTCATCTGTTTATTGCCTTTGAACCTGAGGAGAGTAAAACTGTAAGCGCTCCGACGACACATAATTGCATTTGTGAATTGTGGTATATACAGACTCTGCATGCCTAAGCAGGTGGCATCATTATTTCAGGAGGCTAAGTGGTCAACTAAATGTTCTACATAATAAAATAGACCTTGGTTTAGACTTATCTACTTAGTAACACTAAGTAATATTCACATGGCAAGCAGTTATGGGGCCTTCACATTAGGCTGGCCATACATTTAGGACATGCATGATTTTGTCCTGATGACTGGGCCAAAATTCAACCAGGGTGCGGCCCTGTTGGCACCCCTCCGCTCTAAAAAATTTATTTTTTTTGATGGACTTTTGTCGAAGGAGACGGTTAGAAAATTAATGGCCGAACAATGCCTGCATCCAATAAGATGTATGCACTGGTCAATAGCCTGGCAGGGGGAATTCCTCCATCCATGCTGTTTAATCTAAGTGGAGGAATCTGTTGTTGGAGAAATGAACCTGCAGGCTGAACAAAAAATACATTATTGTATGGCCAGCCTTACTGTTTATACATTACTTTGGATCTAACATGCCTGTTTAAAGTGACCCAGTTAAGGACATTGGTGTGACATTTGGATGCTGTGGGGGTTAAAATGTGTTCATGTTGAGTTTTTTGTATGTAGACCAGAATGTTTCCCTTCTAGTCAATTCATTAGGGTAGTAAAACACATATGGGCACATACAAATTTTCTGCAATTGTTTAAGGATCGTCCTGTTTTCTTCATCAAATGAGGGAAATGTCTTTAAGTGTTCCTTCACTGGGTTGAATCAGAGATCAAAACTGCAATCCCAGATTGACATTTTATAGTAGTGCTTGAAAACCACTTAAATGCTATCACAATTTGATGGGCTTGGTCATGCAGGGGTTCTCAGTAATGCAGCATTTCCAAAGCACATTGAAAGAAATTGCACCACTACCTGTTGGTAAGAGTTCTGGCTGGGTAGAAGAAGCCTTAGGCCGTTAGCAAATAGGTAGATGTCACACCAAGACTTAAAGGCGGTAAGACATGCACGGGTCGACAAACTAATATGGAGTTCAAGAGCCAGTCTGTCCAATCCAGGAGCCAGCTCCATTAACAACAACCAGAGAAAATCGAAATAGTTAGGCACTAGCGGCCATTTTTAAGGTGCATTGGCTACCTGGCTTCTGGGTTTTGTCCAGTCTTGAAGACATGTAACCCATCTTCCCTTGTACTGCACAAATGCTGAGATCTCCTATATTTTTCTCCCTGACTTGGTCAATGACCAGTAGCAGTACAGACACTATGTGCATAATTATACAGAACATGGATATGTGGTCTTCTGATTACATTGAGATTTCCTATCATGCTGGACAGTTTTTGCGTGCGATATTGAAGGCCTGATAATCCCCAGTTGCCACAAACAGTTGAATCAGTTGTATTGCTTGCTGTTATTGGGACATGTATGAGAGCCCATACATTTGGCAATTTTATTTGCAGTTTCTGATATTATTTTATTCCCAGTTTCACTCGACCAAATGTTCAAAACTGCAGTAGAAATCAATCAAATCCACATTAGAACCGGCCAGTGGGTACCTTCGATCAATTTCGTCAACAGTTTTGATTACGTGGTTACTCACGATGATTGAAACTGGGAAGGGCAAATTGCTATGTTTGAATGCTGATAACTCCAAAACTGCCAACAAAATGATCAGCATTGATCTACATGCCCATGTGTTCAGGTGTTATAGCCTTAGGTCTTATAGGCCTTCAGAACCATGGCTTATACTGTCTGTGTACAGGACCACCAAGAAACTGTATGTGACATTTGTTGTTGTAGTTCTTTGAAAATCTGGAAGTTCGCACTCGGCAAGCAACGGTGTCATTGAGTATTAAAGGGCAAGGACTGGCGCCTTCTCTGACATGCACGGTGGATGGAGGAGTATTAAACATGGGCTATGTCTTGGCTAAAGACCACACCACAGTATCATTTAAGGTAAAGTGCTTTTTCTTATATTTTTTTTGAAGGAAAAGATGCATAATAATAATTCCAAAGAATTAACTATTAAAGACAAAAATGAGAAGTGTAGCAACTGTGTAGCTGAAGCTCAGTCTATTTCTGCTCATGTCATGGTGCATTATTTAAGTGCAGATTTCTGGTAACAGAACCATACAAGCAATATGCTGTTTTGGGGGTATGGGCCGTGCTTTCTCAGTAGAAATTTGGGCACGTTGCTGCTGGCAGGGGTGAGTGAATTGATAGTTTTAAGTTCCCTGAAATGTTGAAATAAGGTAAAATGCATTGACGTCATTGGGGAAAGCAAAATTAACAAAATGAAGCTGGTTTGTGGTGGCTTTTAAGGGTGCAGAAATTCCTTTCAACTGTCCCAAAACTGTTCTTGTGCCAAGAAACGGTCCCCATTAGCCTCATTACTTTCCTGATTTCTTTTTCCAAAAACAGTGCACAAAAAAAGGTATGGACAAAAAAAAGCATTGCATGCCCTATTGCTGGAAATCATGACCATGCGAGTCCTTCACCCTGAAAAATCCTCCTCTAAAAACACTAGTCTGATGTTTACATGGGGGGTCTTCCTCACAACCTGTGTACCAAAAGGTGGTGTAGGGATCGGGCCTTATGTTCAACTACCTGTCCCTTCTTTCAACCCTTTTACCTGTTTACCACACCACAAAAAAACTCTTTTTAGAAATTAGACACATCATTTGCAAACATGGGTCTTTGATCTGCCCTATCCCATGCTGTGGTCTCTTTTGTGCAAAACCGTCATCAATAGCTAAATTCAGGTGGCACATCTTCCCCCTAAAAAAAAAAAGAAGCTTTCTTCATTGTTTTAATTACTAATGTGTATTTTATTGACTGTATTTTCTTCTTTTTTTTCAGTTACATAACACATCAACAATTCCAGTGAATTATACTATTAAACAGGGAAGTCTGTCTGTAACTCGATACGAGGAGCTTCAAAAACTTCCAAATTTTATTCATTCGGAAAAACCAGCACCCAACTTTGTTGGTAAATATATGATCTGTATGGGAGAACCCAGCTGTGTACACTGTATTATGCATGTGTTTATATACATAATGTGATAGTATGCACAGCATATTAGTACAATATAGCAGACCTACCTGTCCAAACCTATCGCCTCCAGTGCTGCTCTTCTCCCTCTGTAGCGCTTCCATTTTGGCTTTGGGTTTCTAATATTTGGCCACTTGATTAGCATTAGCCGGGTCCAATGACATATCTCCCGAGCATGCGCACAAGAGTTACTTTATGTGGGCAATGCCAGGTCAATGCACTAAGCTGCGCATGTCATTAAAAGCTTGCTGATCGGCAAGTTTTTTTTTCTTAGTTTACTCCCACTTAAAGTGTGTTGGGTAAAGTCATCCCATTTGTTTTGATTGGGCTGCCAACACAGGGTAATACACCATTAACCAAACCTGCAGCATTATTTTACTGCAGTACACCACAATGTTTGCCATGTGGGTTGTGGTGCCCAGCAGCTTGGTCTTTTGGCTTCTACTGTACTTGTGTATCGGGGTGCCATACTAAATTAATGGCACTGCAATGTACTGCACAGAGTGTCATGTGTTACCGTGCTTCATGGTCTGAATGGGCCAAAAAGGTTCCACATTGTATATAACAATAATTACCTTGGAATATGAAATTGTGAAAAATGACTAAACATAGCCATCATTATTATTCCCTCTTCAAATATAATTCTATACTTAATTATAAAGCAAATTCAGATTATTTTCTTACTTGTGCACATTTACGGTTTGTCTGCTAACTATTCCTCTCCCCAATCTCTTCCAAGGACCTCAGAATTACAATGGACAAAGTGTTTTCAGCGCATCGCCTGTAGAGGGAACCATTCAGCCAAACAAAACTGAAGACATTTCAGTTTCTTTCTCTCCAGACCATGAGAGTGTGCATTTCTCTGACATCCTCATGGTGGAGCTCTTCTGCAAGGTAAGGCTAAAAGTACAAATGATAGATGTTAGATTTTGGCAGAAATAGATCTAGGCCAATTCGGTTTTTAATAAGGTGGCATAGATATAACAGACACGGAAGCAAACTGCAGATATGTACAGAATACATACTCTACTGCAACTAGATACAGTTTATCAGCGATGTCCTAGTTTTCTTCCTTAGCTTGTCATCATATATTATTACCTGGTGCTGCTCCTGTTATTGTGCCCATGTGAAAATGATACAGAAATACATAATATGCTTTCCACTGACCCAGTTGCTGGTAAACAAGCTGTATGGTTTATTTCTGACCCTGCTTCCATAGCCAGTACATCTGTACTTAAAGTGACCCTGTCATTACAGGGAGACTTGTATGAAAAGCATACCTACAAAAAGCAGACCGCATATACTCGCCTTTCCAGCTGCCTACGTTTTGTGTTTTTTTTAAATACGCGACTGTACTACTCATTATCCTCTGCAAGTAGTCAACTGGTCAGATGAGTTGAATACCTGTTTCCCCTGCCGTTTGCTATGGTTTCTCTCACTGGGTTGTAGATCCTATAGTGTGAGCAAGCAAGGATAAATGACATCAAGTGATTGGGGAGCAGATTATTTACACATCTGGAAGTGTGAGCAGTAAAGCTGTAGAAAGGCAAGCATATGCAGTCTCTTTTTTTGCAGGTATATTTACATAAAGTATGGTCCTACTTAAAGCCCAACTCCATTGAATGAATGAAGTGTGTAGTAGACTGATAACATTGGTTGGATCCTGAGGGGTAATTAGTCTAATCGCTCCAGATGCCAGATAAGCTTTAAACAAGCCCTAATAAAGGGGGATCCTTTGGACCTATGAAACGCCTTAGATATTTAGGAGTCTAAATAAAATTAAATCTGACTTTATATGTTCTGCTTTTGGTGCTTTCCTCCTTGCACACCCAGTAAATGACATATCTGACTGCAAGGACGCTTATTGTATTGAGAAAAGTGTCTGTTGACCTCTCCTTTTTTTTTTAATGTACCTAATCTTTATTTTAAGGTTTTTGCGACGTTACAAGAAATCAACATAAAAACACATTCCGTTAGGCGGTGGCACGACCGGATAGCTGACCAACCGCTGACTGTAATCTCACCTATGTCATTAGTGGGAACATACATTGGCACAGCTTCAGGAAGTTGGAGGAGAGGAGTGAAAGGGGGAAGAAGGCGGGTGGAGAGACATGGCAGGTAGGGGAAGGGAGGGGTAAAGATGGAGAGGGGAAGGAGAAAAAAACAATGAGCAGTGAAGAAGCCAACATTTGAGGCTGTACATGACTTTAAAAATGGTCATTCCTCAAAAAGAAGGCATAAACTCGGAAACACTCAAAACCATGGAAAAAAAAGCACTAAAGACAATAAAAACAATGAAACATAGGAAACCTAGAAAAGTGGGTCATGTAGGGTGTCTAGAAGTCTACTATGTTCAGTATGCTTAGAAAAAAAAGCTTGCCGGCAATCTATTATATTCAAAGCAAAGAGGAACTGCCACAACCCAGGATATTAGACTACGATCAGGAGCTGACTACTAGCGGTTGTCCTCCTAGTCAGAGGTGGGATCCGAGTTGTAATGAATCCATGTAGCCCATATAGTGTAAAATTTAGCATACCTGTAGTGACCATCCTTTCCTCTGAGGCTTGGATGTCCGAAACCATTCTGCTCCACTCCTGGGGGGGACAGATGCCGTCTTCCAGTATCAAGGATCAAAACGTTTTGCCACGTTTAGGAGATGAGAAAGAGGACCAGACTTATAGTTGGACATAGGGCAGGGCACCGAGTGCAGGAGGAAGAGGGCCGGGAAAAAGGCATTTTGATGCCGAGGATGGATTTCTTTTTGAGCCTGGATCCCCCGCCAATACGGCTGGATCTTAGAGCATTCCCACCATACATGCAAGTGTTGACCTCTCCTTTTAACAAGCTAATTGATGGCTATTATCCTGATCTAATGGCTTCAATACTTTTTAGTCAACAAGTTAACAAGTTAAGGTCAGTGAGGTCAGAATCAGAATTCCTGATTTTTGTATTGGGTCCCTGATTTAGAAAGTATTGAAGCTGTTGAATCAACACAGCAGCCCACCAACAGTTTTTTTAGAAGGAGATTCCCATAGTTTATGTGTCCTAGATTACTCACACTGTAATAAAGTACACTGTTTATCCTGATAAACAACCCTAAACCATGTTTAAATGTGTCTGTAGCACATAGCTCATTCCATCCAGCTGAAAGGTGCCTCCAGGAATCACATCATGTATATCGAAGGAGGAGATCCAGTGGTTGTCCCTATCGAGTCACTCTGCACTTTCCCAGCGAAAGAAGGAGGTAAGTGTTTTTCTGCAAAACAAAGTCATTTGTGCCTGTAAGACAACACTCTGAATTTTGAAGATGCATACGGTCCCTTGTGTATGAAAGGTCAAGCTTTGTAACCCTGACTTTTAACCCAGACCTTTAACTTTAAACACAGACATGAATTAATGTTTTTCGATTCACATCAATACAAGAATGTTTCCCAGCAAATGGAGGCTTGTGGACTGATGGCATTCTGCAGTCCTTAAATGTTGATTCTGCTCATCTCATGGCCTGCCCATTCGCATTTTGTGAAAGCCGGTCCTTTTTTTTTTTATTGCTGCATACTTTTGTGAAAACAGTGGGTCTTCCTGCTGTGATACAGAGAAATAATTTTGGTTGCTTGAAACAACATCTCCATGTGTCCTTGCTAGAATTCATTTATCAGCTGTACTCTGAATGCGTGACAACAGATCCTTATTTTTTATTTTACTAAAATTGTTAACAAATGAAGGGCCTCTACACATCGGTATCTAAATATGGCACACCGCATATGCTGCTAACACCTATTGAATACTCCTTGGCACGTGGAACAGATAGACTGAATTGAACTGACACCACCCAAGAAGTGCAAGTTGTGTTCTCTTCCACTGTTCTACGCCATGTTAAAAGTAGTGCACACTGTTGAAATTCAGTTCATTTCCATTATAACAATGTGGGACACGTGTATAGGTTTTTTACTTTCTGAAAGCTAATATACCTCTTGCAAATGGAATAAGGACCTGCCATAGGTAATGCCATGTTTTAGATAATCAATTCTCTACCCACTAGAAATGTAATGCAGTCACAGACTTTGGTGAATCAGATCCAGGAGACCCACATACCAAATTTTTTTTTTCATCAGCATGTGACGCAGCAGAAGCATGCCATTTTTTGTAATCTTGCTAAGTTACTTAGTTACTTACTTATGTTATTTACCTGTAAAGGCCTACCTTGTTTAGCTATCTAACATCCCTTCTGGCCAAAACTTGTGTCTTTTGGTGACATGGTTTCTTACCAGAAGTTTACATCTAATTAGCATTCTGTTCCCACATATTCCCCACCTTGGCACTTTATCAAATGCTCAAGTGGAATAATAGAGCTAGGATGTAGACATTTCTCCATGCTGGCTAATTCCACTTTCCCACAGCCCACCGTTCATGGCCAGGGGGCAGGCAACCTATGCATTGGTGTATGGCATCTGGATGTGGAATGGTTATAGAGGTAAATTACTTCTTGCCCACTGCACCGAGCTGGGTGGGCCATTCACCACTACAGCATGGTCAGTTAATGCGTCATAGTACTTAGATCACCAGCAATCACCAGCGACTTGGATGTGATAACCGCTGCCTGCCATGGGCAAACTGTGGCAGCCAAAACAGGGAGACGTTTGTATGTGAGTTCTATTGATTTGAATGGGCATTTGATAAAGGGCCAAAGGATCATGTGATATGTGGTGGTTGGGGGGGTAATTGAAAATGGACTAGACAAAGACATAGCATTGTAACACACTCTTGTTATATTCAATATTAGAATGGCAAACTTCCTTATACAGAAAACAAACACTTCTTCGAAATCCAAACCAAGACATTTGCATAGCTTTGTTTGACTAGAGAAACATCTTTTTGCTACTTAGTTCCACCTATTACATTGTTCTGAACCTTTCTATTAGAGAACATACAATGCTAATCCTTTAGGGATAAACAGGGAAGGGTGTTACCATCCATTACGAAAATAACATTTGATCCTTTTCAGGAGAAACATTATGTTTGTAGTTTACTTATTATCCCACTGTTCATCTTCTAAAAACATGATAACATATGAGGTGATATACTGAATATATTTACCCAATAGGTAACGCTGTGATCAAATAAAAGGGTTGCGCTCAGAGAGTAAGCAATAGCCTAGTTTATATTAAAAAAAAAGATTTTAATGAGAGTTAAAGTAAAGGTCTGCTCAGGTTTTAGTAAATTACCAGAACAGAAGGTATTTAGAATGTAAGTAGGACAGTTGTAAGTGAACATTTTGGGGTTCATTTATAAAAGTTCCCTCGACATAGCCATTTGCATGGCACTAGCACCCCTTAATGGCATTGATGAGTATAGAAAATTCAAATACTTATCAGTGTCCTCTAGAGCAGTGGTTCTCAACCTATGTATTCTCAGGACCCACATTTGTCCTAGGTCATTAAGTTGTGACCCAAGTCACACTGCAATGGAATGCACGGTATTGCAGCACCATGCGTTCGAGTGCAGGCGATCAGACTGTGGGTGGAAGATGCGTTTGGGGTGTCATTCAAATTAATGGCAATGCAACACATCTTCCACACCAGAACAGGCGATAGGTGTGATTGCGTGGTACAGTGCATTAATCGCATGGGGCTGTGTGATTAACGCACTGTTCTAGTATGAACGGACCCTCAAAAACACTGATAGACACAATCTCACACACTCAGATATACATACACACACTCCAAAAAAAATTATAATTTTCTTTTCTTTTTATTAAGATCCACCCAGTCTCCCTACCTTATGAGAACTGGAGTGAATCCTCAGCCTGGGGTCCAGTGTGGGCCGCTGTGCTGTGACGGAGCTCCATCCATATGTGCATGGCTTGTACAACTCACTTGTGTGCTCTGTAGAGGTGCCAGGAGCCAGAATGTGATGTCAGTCCAGTCCATGCTCCTCTACATGGCACATGTGAGAGCTGTAAGCAATGCACATAAGGATGGAGCTCCCTTATGGCTACACTTCCAGCCCACCCCACCTCCCCTGCAGAGCCGGGCAGCATATTTTGAATTGCTGCTCAGCGCGAGAACAGACGGTGCTGCACTAGGGGGAGGCCTGGGGAGTCTCTGACCCTGAAAAGAGGAAGGCATGTGGCGACCCACTGGACATGAAACGTCGGCTCATGTTGGATTTCTGTGACATCATTGTCCATTAAAAGGACTTATTCATTTTAATTCCTGGAGTGCTGGTGACTTATTTCTTCCACTGGACATGGAGTCGTGACCCACTTTTGGGTCACGACCCACCAGTTAAGAACCAAGGCTCTAGAGCAGTGGTTCTCAACCTGTGTGACCTGAGGACCCACATTGGTCCTTGGTCATTAAGTCGCGACCCAAGTCGCACTGCAATAGAATGCACGGCATTAGGGTACCACCTGTTCATTTGCGGGCCTGCGAACTGTGGGTGGGAGGTGCATTTGGGGTACCATTCAAATGAATGGCAATGCAACACTCCTCCCACACCAGAATGCACGGTAGGTGCAATTGCGTGGTACAGTGCGTTAATCGCACGGTACTATGTGATTTATGCACTGTACTAGTGTGGACAAGACGCACACAACCACAGACACAATCTCACACACTCACAGACATTGTCATACACACTCCAAAAATGTGTTACATTTTTTTATTTTTTTTAAAGGTCTACCTTTAAGCAATGCACATATGGAGGGAGCTCTCTCATGGCCATAGCCCCAGCCCATCCCACCTCAAGCTGACACTCGGCACTGGGCAAAATATTTTGAATGGCTGCTTGGCGCGAGAACTGGCTGTGCTAGGGGGAGGCAGAGTAGCCTTTCACGTAGAAAAGTGGAAGGCATGCAATGACCCACTTTTGGGTCACGACCCGCCAGTTGCCAAAAATGCACTCGGCTCTTAATTTCCTATTCTGGGCTAACAAAAAAACAGCATTTTTGTGGACTAAAGTGACTTCCCACTTATGGTGTCAGCCCTGCCAAGTTGTCTTTTGCTAAATTGCTCAATCTATTCCACTGTCCTCAACTCCAACTCATAGCCACTAGATTGTAATCGCAAGATAAGAACCTGGGAGAGCTAAATAAACTCTTTGGAAAATGTTTTTAATTGTATTCAAAGCAGGAGTTAAAAATTGCTGGGAGGTCAGGATTTTTGGTAGAAGAGACATGCAAAGTCTCCCCCTTTCCCCCCAACAATTCTTTTTTTGTTTTTTTTTTGTACATTGTACAGCGCATGCGCCATGCAGTGTATAATCTCAGCTCATTTACAGCATCTCTAAGATTCTATGAATAGACCTAATGCTGGGGAAGATGTAACTCCTATGTGCATGTGCAGGAGTTACATCATCAGTGACCACCTAGTGGCCAAAAAAAACTCCCACCGAACTTGGAAGTGGCAGCTGCAGAGACAACGGCGGCAGGGGGTAGGACAGGGAACCATGGGTGGATCCGACAGTGCTGGAGAAGGGCACACTTGTAAGGTATGTATCATATAAGTATGCTGTGCCTTTTACACACCTGTTTAGTACTGATTTAACAGACCACAAAGCAGCATATAAGAATTGTTTGTTGGTAGGATTTAACTGTTTTTAAGATATAAATGTGAAAGAGATCAACTAAATGTAAAAGATATGTAATTGTGTGTGTGTACTAAGTACTATTAATATTTCAAAAATCAGTTTTATATATATGGTTTCTAATTTTATATACTGTATGTACATGGGGGCAGCTGATGCACTTCTCTCACTGCAGGTCTAACAAACAACAGATTGATTAAAAACTAGACTCTTTGTACAGTCTGTAATGACATGAAACACCCACAATGCACCTGACAGCTAGGGATCATGTGATCTTTGCCTAGGCTTTTAGTGACACCTGTGTGCTAAGGGGTCTCTTTGTTCATGGCAAAAAAAGGGGTACTTTTGCAGAAAAGCATTTAACCTTGACTCGCAGCATTTGCTTTCTTCTGCCTCCCAACTTGAAACTTCTTTAAATATGTGGAAAAAAAACTGCTTCATGTTATTTTAATACTGCACTTGATGCCAGGGCCTTTTATCACCTTGCATTCAAAACATGTCTGCTGATGTAATATTAATGCACTTAATATGTTCTGCTCCATATATTTTATTTCCCTTGTGAAAGTGGAGGAATGAGATGTATATCGCTATTGATGTCAGTATTGAGCTCTGTCATTGACCATTTCGGGTTGCTGTGCAACATATAGAAAACTCTGTTTTCTTTCTCACGGGTGACGTATGTTTTTTCTGCAAACACTGGAAACATTTGACATAACACCATGCCACTTAGACTGTGGACTGAGCTTTGTTTAACCTGCCTAGTACCAGGAAAGTGTTCAACGCTTGAGTGGTCTGTGGAACGTTTTCTTACTAAGCCATGTTTGTTAAGATGCAGATGAACCAGCAAATACACTTCTCGTGACCCTGCAGTGTGCCCAGACGGAGGAGGAACTGAGGCCCGCTGTCAGGGAGCTGCACGTCGGCTGCATACGCACATTGTTATCGTCGGCTAAAAAGGTAAACAAGTGCAATGACTGAGAACATAGAGATGGGAGAAAACGTGACCAATGTAACTCAGCAGCCTGAGGTCCTAGCTTGAGTCTTCCTGGTTACCTATGTGATTTATTAATCCTTTGCACATGCTATAAATAAGCAAGCCACATGCACCAGTTCACATGATCCAGCTGGAAATGCAAGGATGTACTATCTCTGTTAGACTCTGTTCCAGTTGCCCATTGCCTACGATTTATGCTTGTAAATGATCATTCAGACATATAGCACAGTATGGTTGGACAATAGCCAGACTGCTATTGGCTATTTTGATTTGAAATAGCCAATAGCAGACAGGCTATTGAAACACCAGCAGCCAAGCAGAGGAGCGGACCTGAGAGAGAAAGTTGTCTCTTAGAATCGCTCCTCTGCTCAGTGGGCAGGTGCAATAGCGTCTCTTATCCGTCCCTAAGGTGGACATTTACCCCCTTTCACTAAAAATCACATCAGCATGCAGCTCTGCATGCCGATATTAAATCATCTTACATTCATTAGCTAAACAAACGTATTTTCATTTTACTTACAATTTCTTGCTTTTTACTTCCTGGTCCTCTTGGGCATTAGTAATGTAATGTGCCCAAGCGTTGCATCCTGGGAAAGTTACATCAGCAGAGCATTGCTGGGAAATTTCATCTGTAATCTCACAAGATCTCAGGGAAGGGCATTTTCCTCCCATGAGATATGTGCATGGTCACATGTCCTAGTCACATGTACCAGAGTTACAGGAAGTAAAGGGAGATGGATTCATCTGCCCTTAGTAAAATCTTAGTAAAAATAGAAAAAAACAAGAAAGAATAAAAAGTATGCAATGTTCTAGAAGCATGTGTTTGTGGATTGCCATTACTAAACATTTCTGAAGGTGTCTTTGTTGTTATTTTGAAGATATGACTAAAGTGCTTCTTTAAAGTTGAATTCCAGGAGAAAAAAAATAACTCCCCTTGCAGTGGGGCTGACCCTGCACTGGGTTAAATGCACATTTTAGGTCTGGGGTACCTGGGAAAAAAAAGAGTTGATGATATGAATACTCCCCTTCCGCAGGCTCCCTCCAGACATCAAGGCTGGCACCCTCAGCCTTTTCCACCCTACGTTCCGGCAGTCAGAGGCCTGCTGTCGTTTTCAAGTATGATGCAGCCCATAGCGCTGCATTATACATGAGGATGCCGAGTAGGGGTCCACAAGCCAGAGTGTAGGGAAGAGGAGGCGAGTGCCTAATACCAGGAGGAAGCGAAGATCAGGTAAGTAAAACTGGTTTAGCTGATAACCCTAGACCAGGGTAGGCAAGCTCCGGTCCTCCAGGTGTGGTAAAACTACAAATCCCACTATGCATCTGCCTCTGGGAGACGTGGCTGTCAGTCTTGCAGTGACTAATAGGTTTCATAGTTGCACCACAGCTGGAAGGCTAGAGTTTGCCTGACCCCTGCCTTGGACCTAAATAAGCATTTAACCTTTGCAATGTGCGTGCATCCTCAATGCAAGGGAAGTTTTTTTCCCCCGGAGACGCTTTAAAGTAGAACTATTGTAAAAATTAAAATGCATATAGATTGTGCATGTGATATATTAAATATATTCATAGATATATGCTAATAGCATTAGCACAGCATTGTTTTTGTTTTTTCTGATTCCACTATTGTAACATACCTGTTGAATCCTGTCAGTAGATTAATTATCCTTGCTCCAACAATGCATCAACACTGTTCATTCTGCAGTGAAATCGCACAGCAGCCTTGGGGACAGGGTAGTCCTGGATGGACATGTAGTTTTAAAAATGGACTTTAGTTAAGAGACAAAGTCTAACGCCTAACTCTTTTTAAGCAGTTACAGATGCAGTGGTTTTTTTTTCTTTTGGGAAAAGGGTTTAAGCCATATGAATAAAAGCTGCCCATTGTAAGCACCCTGAATGGTGTTAAATTGTTTGTGCCACCCAACCCAGTAACTGCTTCTTTGGCTGGACAGCTTGGCCCGGTAAAAGTAAACAAAATGGATCTACTGGCAGGATCAACAGGTTACAAATGATGCACATGGGCTGAGAAAACCAAAAACCGCTGTGCTAATGCATAAAAGAGACACATTATCAATCATTATTATTTTTATTAGAGTTCCACGCATGCCTCAGGTATCCACAAACTATTCAGAAAAGCACTTACACTTCACCTACAACTTTTTATTCCATCTCTTCACTTTAGTTGGCTTTGCTGGCCATATATATACACAGAATGATCACTTGAATCAAAGATTTGATTGTTCTAAATAGACAGTTTGATCTATAAAAAAAAATCATTGTCGCTAGCATAAATATTTTTAGATATCACTTCATATCACAACCCCATTATGTACAGTATCCAAAGTAGTCAACATCAATTCTGATTTTTGTTCTCACGTATCTGGCAGTTGAGGGCATTACCAATGCTTTTAAGGCCAAAGCAAATTCTATAAATTTAAGAGGATTATTATTATCAAGCTGGTCATGGCCAAACTGGGAAGTGACCGTGTGCTTGTTGTCATTCTGTGACTTCTGCAGACACCTCGTGGCTAGGGTTGGAATCTGGCGGATTCACTTGGACAGTCCGGGGGTTTTGAGTCCTGTATGTGCTGTGTGAACAAAACCCGGACTGTGCAGGTGAATCCGGGACAGGTGGCAACCCTACTCGTGGCCAGCAAATGTTACAGGAAGAATCCATCTTCCAGAATGGGTTTTCCTGGATTATTCCTGGATTATTGATCTAGAGATTAGCCCAGTGCGAGGCATTCCTGGTCAAGGAATAAACATGCATCATTGGCTGATATAAAAAAATCATATTTGTATCATGATCGATCTAACAGTACATGGAGGCACATTTTATAAGTGTGCAGTATAATGGGGTAGCAGAATTACCATTCTATGGGTGGCTGCCAATTATTGCAGTGTATTAAATGTATAGGAACAGCTATTATTATTATTAAACAACACCCTTCAAACCTGTCCATTTGTCAACTCTCATTTCATGCTAAAGGTGGCCATACACTCTACAACCATCGCAAGACTTTAGTCTTGCGATGGTTGTAGAGTGTATGGCCACCTTAAGAATCACCATTCCATCTGTCCCAGCTATAGAAGTTAGATACATATCATCATAGTTAGACAAAATCTTCTTGCACCAGAGATGGAGTGGAGAAGTGTTGAATTGCCTAATATACCTGTATTTCAGTATAATTAAAGTCCAAGTAAGACCAAAGCAAGTATAAACCACTTCAACGTGGTTGTCTTTAGGATCCTTTTTTTCCAAGGCAGGAATTAGACACTATAGCATTGCAGAGGGACCTGGATAAAATAGGGGAGTGGGCAACTATATGGCAGATGAGGTTTCATCTCGATAAATGTAAAGTAATGCACTATGGGGTTAAAAATAGGCAAGCAGGATAGACATTAAATGGGAACTCCACTAGGGAAGTCAGAAACGGAAAAAGATTTAGGGGTCATTGTAGACCGCAGATTGAATAATAGCATGCAATGCCAGGCTGCGGTAAACAAAGCAAGCAGAGTACTGTCTTGTATTAAAAAGGGAATGTACTGTAGAGACAAATCTAGAATTTTGATACTTTATAGATCACTGGTTCGACCTCATCTGGAGTATGCAGTTCAGTTTTGGTCACCAATCCACAGAAAGGATGTCCTTGAGCTGGAAAGAGTCCAGAGAAGGGCAACCAAACTAATTAAGGGGATGGAGGACCTATGCTATGAGACAAGGTTACTACATTTAAACTTGTACACTCTGGAAGTGAGGAGATTAAGGGGGCATATGATTCTGATGTACAAGATGTTCAACGGGGATAGCAACATCAGCAATAAACTTTTTACTCTAAACTCCATAACAAGGACTAGAGGCCACCACCTAAAATTGGTGGAGAAAAGATTTCAGCACAAGGAGCGCCAGGGGTTCTTCTCAGTTAGAGTGGTTAGGGTCTGGAACTCACTGCCACAAGCAGTGATTTCATCTGTGAGTGTGGAATCGTTCAAAAAACGTTTGGATAATTTCCTCAGGTACCGTAACATACAGGGGTACAGCTTCACTTAAGAACAATATCACACATGGACTCAAACACATGTAGAAGCACATGCATACACTCAATAGGTTGGACTTGACCTGTGTCTTTATTCAACCTCAAATACTATGTAACTATGTCATGTATTGATTTTTACTTATCTCTAGAATGTGGAATTCTCATGGGACAACGTGCCGCTACTGCAACAGAAAGGATTCACCATTGAGCCAGGGAAAGCCTTAGTGGATGCTGGTCAGAAGAAACCCATATCTATTACTTGGATCCCACCTGCTGGATATGATGTGCGTAAAGCATGTATATACTGGATGTTGTAGCAAATATTTAATACTGAGGAGGACACCTATTGTACAAAGATCATGCACATGGCCATGACTACCATGAAGCAAGGTGAATTTTGTTTCCTCAGGTAGTCTGGTGCCTAAGAGGACAAACAGCAGAAGAAGTAGGAGGCAGCGTTGATAACAAATTGGGATATATGATTTATAAACTGCCTTTATCCATTTTCTGTTATGAGGGTGGCTACATTCAATCTACATAGTCCCACTGTATGTGGGAATGTAGCCAAAAATTCCACTGAAAATCAGCAATTGAGGGGACTTTTATTGCTACCAATCACAATGCTTTTGGTGGATTCAGCACAATATAGCCATACCCACTTTTTGCCAGAACATCTCTTAAAGGAGAACTATGAGGTGAGTGATTTTCACTGAACCTCATAGTTTGAGCCGACGTGTGACAATGAAACTGTCACAGGTCGGCTCAATAGATCAGGAAGTGAGCGAACACATACCGTCGCTTGCTCACTTCTCGATCATGTCCCTGCTGAGAGCCGTGAGTGTCACTCAGGGCTCCTTGCAGGGATTCTCCCCCCTCCCCTGTCCGATCCTCCAGTGCTGACTGGCAGAACGGACGGGGGAGGGGGGCGGTTACAGCTGGCTCTGCCTCTAGATAGGCAGAGCCACCTGTCAATCACGCGGCTGGGTGGATCTCGACAGTAATGTGGGGATCCGTCCCGGCTGCGGCGGTCTCGGTATACCACGAGCTGCAGCTCACGATATACTGAGGTTTGGAATCGGTAGAAAGTCACTCGCACTCCAGTATAACATCCAGTCAATCTATTTATTGACTAAATGGTACAGTTTTCCAATGCAACGTTTCTGAACCATAACGTCCCTTCATCAGGCAAACAGTTTGCCTGATGAAGGGACCTTATGGTTCCAAAACGTTGCATGGAAAAACTGTACCATTTAGTCAATAAATAGATTGACTGGACGTTATACTGGAGTGCGAGTGACTTTCTACTGATGTCAAGTTATTTGCAGAGGCTGCGGTTAAAATATGAAATGTATTTGAGTACAGTGCTGCACAACCGAATAATTGTCAGTCAAACTATCACAGCACCAAAAAACTGAAATCTGTCCTGGAAATGAGGGGGTGTCACTTGCTGGTATTGAGTTGGTTAAGCTAAACTTTTATTCCCCATTTTATTTTGTTCCCCAGCCAGACAAACCTGAAACCACCACAGCAAAACTGACGTTGAAAGGTGATATTACGGAAACATACCAGATTATCTTCTGCACACAAGTCGTGTCATTATAAGGTGTCCTCTGAGTAAGAAAACAACAGTGCAAAGTCACAATGATCTGTTGGCTCCTCTGCTAATGAATATTGGTGCTAAAAGAAACACAAATGTAACGCGATTCCTGTAAAAATAAACTACTGATTGTTCTAACAATAGGGTTGATGTGATACCTGTTCCACCCAACACTTCACTTACTAGAACAACTATTCCATATGATTTATTTAGCATCTCTACAACTGTTGCTGGCAAGACACATGCATATTGTTTCCGAAGTATTTGCTGTTTTTTTGTTTAGTCTCTGGAGAATATTTGTGAATATATGTGCGTCTGCAAGTATATGCGCGGTGCACAAACACTGCATTTCCAGGCCAAATGTATTTTATAAAGGATTTCTCATTTCAGATTTTCTTATTTAATTGCTGAGCTATAATTTAGCAACCATTCTTATATGGCAAGCAATCTTCAGGAAGCACTTTGTCCTGTGATGAATGTCGAATGACAGTGACCATCAGCTAGTAGCTCCCATCTCAGTGACCCCAGCAGTTTAGAAGTGTACGTAATCTGAACATTGTGCTTAGTAGGTGTGCTTGCAAGCACGCAGCATGAACAAGTAGCTGCGGGGATGGGCATGAACATGGGCACACGCACAGGATCATGTGAGACTATACCCGGGAGCACCTAAAGATCAAGCACACATTTTAGCTTTGAGGCGCGAGACTGATTCAGCAAGTATTTAAAGGGGTTCTAAACCCTCCTGTTTTTTTGCCTATATCTACTGCTATCAAGCAGTAGATATAGGCAAACAGTTTTAAAAAAAAACCCCAGCTTTAACAGCGGTTTAAACTCACCTTATTTTCGCTGCGCGCTCCCGCCCGAGAAAACGAAACTGGTCGGGTGGCCGCAAAGCATCTTGGGGCAGTTTGGATTCCCGGCCAGAAGACGAGCAGAGACGCAAGGTAAGTCTATGGACGCGTGCACCCGCATGCAGACACCGTGGGATCAGAAGTGCCAGCAAGCAGAGAGGAGTCAGCGCTGGATCGGAGAGCCGCCGCATCGCTGGAGGGACAGATGAAAACACCAGGAAAGAAGAGGAAGATCGGATTAAGAGACATCATTTAAGGTAAGTGCTGACATTAACATGGGGGGGAGGAAATGTATCCTTTAATGTCACTTTAAAAGACATTTTTAAACTATCCAGCGGCTATCTTGAAGCTCTGAAAGTAAACCTGGTAAAAAGAACATTTCCTAAGCTTACCTTTTCCGATTGTGCCATCCTCCCCAATCCCTGCTGCAGCCTCTTCGAAGATTCTATGCAAGTATGAACCATTCACTGACAGAGGGTAACTGCTACACACACCCTCCTTACTTCCCAATGTGCGCGGGGATGGCATTTGGCTACTCTGGCACCAAACACTGCATTATCAGGTTGCAGTGCTTTACAAATTGATGTAGGCTTTAATAAACATGACCACTATTACCAATGTACTACCCTAAAAAAAAACGGGGGGAATACAGTACAATCATTTTCAGGAAATATTCAAAAGTAGATTTGGCCATTTAATTTGTATTATGTTTATAATTTTTTTTTTCCTAGATTTTCAAAATGTTAAAATTTTACCTTCATGACGTTTATTTAATCACACTACTTGCCACAATAATCTTCTTTTTTTATATCGCAATATCTTCTTTCTGTATGAACTAACATTATAATTAAGTAAAAGAGTGTTGCAGGAAATTGCGCAATCAAATCTTAAAGACATTTATATCCCATTTTGCTTCTTTTTCACAGTTTTCTCTGCAACTGGATTATAAAATCATTTTTTTATACAAGTTGGTACGTTTGCAATGTGTGTTTATTACCAAGGAGTCATTAAAGAGACCCAGTCCCTTTCTTAAAACAAAAATTCAGACAAAGCACATTAAAGTCAAGTATTTTAAATTATTTCTTGCAGTGTTTTTTCTTTCCATAAATTATTTTTTATTTGCTGATGCGCCTGCAAAGTGCGCCTTTGAACTTGCTAGAAAATGTGACTACTCAGGGAAAAATTATTTCCATAGCACAGCTCCGTCCTTCCTGCCATGTCATAGCTCTTTCCTCTACTGTGAGTAACTAATTATGGTATGTGCTGGCCTAGCTCCCTTGCACCCCCATAACTGGAAACCTAATACTTACCTTGCTGTAATTTTCTGGTGCTTGTGCATAGCAGCATACATATGGGAACCATCATATGATGCTATGTAGGCAGGGGCGTAACTAGAAATCGCAGAGCCCCATAGCAAAATTTTGTATGGGGCCCTGTGATTTCTAGTTATGTTCACCTGATAAGCCAGACCCCTACCTGGGGGTGACCCTGCAGAGCCCACCATAGACCCTATGGTGGGCTCTGCAGGGTCTCAGGTGGGCGGTCAAGCCCTCTTACCTGTCAGCTCCGATCCTCTGTCCGCCTCCTCCTCCACGGTCGCTGGCGGGCCCCACCTCCTCTGTCACTGGGCCTCGCCTCCTCCATCACTGCCTACGACGGGCCCAGCCACCTCTTCTGAAGCTGCTGGTTGTCACCGACTCGGCAGCGGCTGTGAGGAGGACGCGTTGCTGCACACATCACTGACAGGTTGTCCGTGATGTGAATAGCGGCGCGTTCCTCCTCACAGCCGCCAGTGACAGCCAGCAGCCTGAGATGCCATAGCGACTCAGGCCCCCGCACGGCATTAGGGGGATATCCTGGCCGGTCCCTTCTGTGCCCTGGGCACCATAGTGGCCGCCTGGGTGGCTATGGCGATTGTTCCGCCACTGCATGTAGGCAACAGGAAAATGGAAAATTGAATACTTACCTTCCTGAAAGCCTTTTATGCAGCTGCTGGGGGGAGGAGCAAAGGGGAATACTTGAGCGACAGCTCTGAGTCTACCGGAGCTGCTGATACAACATCCAAGATGACGGCACCCTGCAAGCGGTCTCCGTTCTTTTAGATGTCTACACAATGGAGGCTTTTACATGGAACTAACATGCATAAAATACATTGAATGCACATATATTCTTATGGGAAGATTCTTAGTGAAATGAATGGTCTGGTGTCGTGGTCTCTTTAAACGCAGCATTGTAAACGTGCAGATCTTGTACGGTAGTAGGAGCTTTGTTACATCGATCAGTTGTTTCGGAATCTTTATGAATGTGGTTCTCTGTGTGAAATTCTACATATGATTTAGTTAATTAGTTTAGATCACTTACTCCTGCCTGGCACTGGGTACAGCAAGAATAATGTGTAATGTGCTGCAAAGGTCAACATTCTAACAAACTCTGAATTGTTCCTGAATAAGACCAGTGAGGTGGAGAGTCGCTGATTAAAACAATTGTTGGTTTGTGTACTGGTTATCAAGCTCTTCAATACATGATGTACAAATAAACTCAAGCTGTACTTGTAATCTTAGAAAGTACACGAACACTTGTTCTCAGTTTGCACTGGAACATGCAAGCGCACAAGGGACTGAAACTTACAGCCTTAATGTACATCTGAACCCAACCACTAAAATCTGAACTAAGGATTAACATGTTACTGTCATTTTCAATATTGTTTAATCTGCAGCTTTATTAAAGTAAAATAATAAAACTGGTGATCCTTCTGTGAAATCCCTTATTCTGGCACTTCCAGGTATAGGGTGACAACTCTGTATATCTCCCAATTGCTCTCCTGTGTTGTCACCTTGTCACGTTAGTTTCCAGTGGAGACTGTGGGGTTAATTTACCCTTGTCACAAAATAGGCCAAAGGACATTCCAACCCTCTGAGTTCACAGCACGCAAAATTCCCCCAAAAATTGTCCACCAATTGCTGTTTGGGATTGCAACAGAACTAGATTGCATATATAAAATTGTTCTTAACCAATAACAGTGACCTCACTGCAACCGCAATTAAAAATAAATGATATCATTTAATATATAATATAATAACTAATTATATAATTTGTTTTTGATTACTGTTGCAGTGAGTCCACTGTTATTGGTTAAAGGGTTATTAAAGCCTCGCGTGTTTTTTGCATATATCTACTGCTAGCAAGCAGTAGATTTATGTAAAAACATTTTTAAAAAGGGTTAATATCTCCTTAACTGTAAGCCGGTAGTCTCCCTGTAACCACATTCAAATTATGCCAATTATGCGGCAGGGGATCGTCACCTAGTGACGAGAAGCATGGGGATGGCTTCCCTGCTAATCAGGAAGCCAGGTGGTGAGTTATTACACGCCGTCTGGCTTCCTTAATGGGACTTTCGGTATTCGGTATCGGCCAGTACCGGAAAAAAATATGGGTACTCGTACTTGATACCGAAAAACCGGTATTGGTGAATCCCTAGTTGTTACAACTATTTTATTAGGATACAACACGGCAATCTTTTACTCAGTGTGCAGTCTGATTCCAATATGCTTGAAAGGCCTTTTTTTCTAACCCCCTCCCCATTAATGTTTGGTTTAGCCTCTCTACTTGTCCATCTTGAAGGATTAGGCATTCTTTATCAGCTTTGTTTATCAGACCATGTAGGAATAATGGAAGAGTTCAGGAGTTCTCTGCTCTGTGCATTTGCTAAATCAAACAGAAATGGCTGATCGCTGTGCAAACAAATCTGAGATATAGCAAAGCCCATTCACCCATACCTCAGAACATGGGAACAATCATATCACAAGAGTTCATACCACTCTCATATACAGATGCAGCATTAAAGTAGAACCTCCGGCAGATAGAAAATCCTAATTTCACCTATTTATTGTATTACAAAATAATCACATCATGTATTTTAGTTTAAGCTAGTGTAAGTAACCAAATCTTTGTTTTAGCTATTGTACCTGTTGCTGTCTTGATGTTTAAAAGTTTTAGTTTCCTGCAGAATCAGCGGGTCCCCTGAGCACTGGCCCTGATATCCTGATTTAGGGTGGCTCCTTTCCCTTGCAGGGTCCTATGGTACTACCCTTGTGTGTGCTATTAAGCTGTCTGTGTCTTCTCCACATTCCTCCTGCTTCAATCCTTCTTCCTCCATTCTCCCAGCTAGTAAGTAGATGGAAGCTGTTGGAGACTGATCTGTCC